AATATGAGGATGGTTATTGAGGTCATCGCCTGGCGTCGCATGATGCATAAGAAGGTGGCGACCGTGAAACGCTAACTGTAAGACATTTACAGTAAGGCCTCCTGAGGTAGTATATATATTATATTGTCACAGAACTATTGACTAAGGGCGAGATCCCACTGGCAAAAACGATTGGAATAAGTGTCTGAAACTGGACGTGTTTGTGGAGAGTTGCCAAAACCTGTAATTGATCTGCTTTTCTGCATCTCTGCGTGGAACACGTCCTGATTCAGGCACTTACTCCAATCCTCTTTGCTAGTGGGATCTGGCCCTAAGAGTGCAAACAGGTGAAGTAGAAGAAGAAATAAGATGAGCGAAGAAAAGAAAAACTGAAAGGACAGACAGGCAAAGAGACAGACAAACCAGAAAACACAGAAAACAGTGTCTTCTTCTTCTTCTTTGTTTTTGTACTGTCTTCTTATTTCTTTCAGAGTTTTATAATTTTTTAACACTGTACAAAGGATAAAAAAAAAAAAAAAAAAACATTGAAATCATTCAAAAAAAAAAAAAAAAAAAAAAATCATTCAATTTCTCAGTCTTCTCAACTCCTCCTTCACTGCACCTCTCACGTACAAGGCTCGCCACGTTGATGAAGTTGAGCGCGAGCTGCCCCCATATGAAACTCGGACAAAACAGTTGGTCACAGCCCCTCGTTTGTTGTCCTCTTCTCCCTTTCTCCCTCTCTCTGCCTACAGTTTACCGGGCAGCTCTGTTTGACTATATATAGGCTACCAGCTGGGCCAACCGGGTCACCCTGTTTTCCCGGGCGGCCCGGGCGTGCAAGGACCAAGAAAGGTCCCTGCAAAAAAAAAAAAAAAAACGAAAAACAAAGCATGTTATGCAGAAACATAAACTGAACAATTTTTGCCTCAGGGTCACATCGAAATTCCTTACCAATTTGTTTTTAATTTCTTTTTAATTTCTTTTTAATTTCTTTTGGGCAAGGCCAGGCAAGTGGTTCCGAGGCCACTCTAGGGTATATATTGTCCCATGATATCAGAGCGCCGAAGCGAAAAACGAAAGAAAACAAGGAAACAAGAAAAACTTCATTCATTTTTAATCTTCTGCGTTACATTCAGCCTCCTGATGACAATCTTTCGTCGGAGTTTCGCTGCCTACTCAAGGGAACCGGGGAGAGAGAGAGAGAGAGAGAACGAGAACTTGCGCGATGCTCAGTTGCAAGTATTCGGAGTTATGCAGTAAGCGGAAACAGAAGAAAGAACGTGACTTCTCCGACTGGATATGTCCGCTATAGAAGGCATATATTTCCCCCCCGTGTGCCCGTAGTAGAGTCTCCGTTACCCCCACTGCTCATCAGGTTCACGACTGTATGCTCACCACCCTTTCTAAGTCTAGTGTCCTTGCCCATCCTCCCCTGCC